ACAGGCACCAGGTACATCTAGCGCAGGTGCTGGGAGTACGCAGGGTACTTTTTGCTGTCACATACCAAGGACCAGGAAAGCCCAAACCCCACATTCAGTACACGACTGCTGTGGGATGCCCTAAAGGTTTTGGTAACAGCACACAGGTATTTTCTGTTGGGTGCAATGCAGTGTGGCAGGAAGCCCCCGCTAGCAGCATCTCAGTGTGGACGCAGAGGGGCTGCTGCTCCCATGGGCAGACCGAGGCCTCCATAGTGTTGGACAGGGCAGGACAGGGATCCTGAAGACAAAGGCACTGCTCCATGGCCGAACATGGCCAGGATGCCACACAGTTCAGAGACAAGCGAGAGGAAAGCCAGGCTGGAATGGAGCGGAAGTTCAAGGAGGAACCTGCAAACCCGGAAGGGGGTTTTGTACTCAGAGCTGAAGCAGAGGCAGCGGTTCCTGTTTCTGGATATAACTGCACAGACCAGCGCTGTCGGCCACAGCTGGACAGCCAGACCCCACTTCTTATTTTTCAGCTCCCAATTCTGTCAGTGAAGCGTGGCAGCATCACTGCATTACAGGGAACAAGCACGTAGTGTCCACACACCCCCACCACGTTCCTTGTAAGGCCATGGGCACAGAGCCCACGAAGGGCTGCTTTCAGCCCACCCTGTAGCAGTTCCCGGTTTAGAGCAGCCAACACGTGCAGCGGGCTAAGCTGAACACACGGGTGCTGGACACCACCGTCAGCACGCAGGAGCGGGCCCATGGGGACCCTACCCCAGTAGATAGCAGGCTGCGGGGCAATAGCTCCCAGGATGGAGATCCACAGCCCCCATGGGCAGCCTGCACCCATGATTGACCACCCGTGCAGTGAAAAAGCATTATTTTATGCTCAGATGTGATTTCCCAAGTCTCAGTTTGTGCCCGCTGCCTCCTGCCCGGTCACTGCCACGTTTTCCCCCCAGGGCAGCCATGCAGGAGCCCCTGAGCCATCTCTGGCCCACACTGAGCCACCCCAGCGCTACCAGCCCCTCCATGGATGGAAGACACCGCACTTGGTCCATGATTCAAAGAACAGCATCTTACGAGTGTGTGCCTCAGTGCTTAACCCCCAGCTCCGACGCCCCCACAACACAACATTGATGAGCCACGCAAGACAACCGGCGCAGAACAGAAGCAAACAGCATGGTCACTGCTGCCCGGACACTGCACCCCGAACATTTCCACATAGAGACAGAAACAGCAAAACAGGGCAGAGATGCTTTGGTATACGTGTGGCTGTGGCCCTGCAGGGCATGGGAGGCTCTGACTGACCCAAACCCTGTTGTGACGCTGGGTCTGGCACCTCTCACGCTGCTGCCACCAGCACAGCATCCCTTGACACAACCAGCACAGCAGGACAGTCCTGATGGGGATGTGGAGCCAGAAAAATGCAGAAAATAAGACAGCATGCAAAGCACAAGAGAGCAAGAGGCACATACTCATTCTCTGCAGGTACAGGCTCCAACAGGATTATCAGGTTATTCCACTATGCATTAGCAGCACATTAACATACGCTTCCACCAAAAGGGAGATGGACCATTTTTAAGAGGCCTCTGCCAAAGGAAAAGGTGGTGGTGTCCCAGTCCCTGGGGCTGGGCTGTCCTAGCGAACAAGGCAAAGCACCAAGGAAGATAAACAGATGCAAGCAGGGAAAACAGCACATTAAGGCTTGCGCAGGCGATGCAGCACAGGAGCGGGGTGAAATGAAGGGAGCAGACACACATCCACCCACAGCCTGCACCAGTGGTGTTTGCCCCTACACCTTTACAAGGGACTCGGTGATTCAGTCCTGACAGAAACAGAAAACAAAACTGCAGCCAACAGCAGAAAACGTAATTAACGGCCTCACATTTCTGCTGTTTACATCAGTTCTGCCATTTCCCACACTTCAGGGGGATGAATGCAGATTGACTGGCCAGAAGCCACACATCAGAGTTATGTGCCCAAATAAACAAACATCACTCAAAACACTGCAGCCCCGTGACCCAGAACATCCAGTCTAGTTCACAAAGAGAATTTTCTAACTTTTAAAAAGTTGTAAATAAGATTAAAAAAGAGCAATGAGATGAGGACACAGAATTTATTTAAACAGTGAGGCAACCTAAAGCCTTAGTCATTAGAAAAATGAGACAGTCATTCCCTACCCATCTGACGCTGGAGTCTGCTATGCAGCCTATTATTTAATTTCTCATCTGAGGCTCTATCAGTCATGCCTACAAACCAGTCTATCAACATCAGCAGTAAAAGATTACCTCATTTGTGAGGCAGAATGTACTTAACTTACATTTAATGCAGCTGATGGCATTTTAGGGGAATGACAGAAAAAAAGCCAACAACCAAACAAGTGTATAAACGACAAGAAGTAAAAAGTATTCTGATTTAAAAGCTACTTGAAATTTCTAGTGCATCTTCAAAACCATCCAAGCAGGACATATTTATATGGAAGAACAAAACAGCTGGTTAGGACAAAACCGGGAAGAACAAAAGTGTCTGGAGAACTGGACAAGGAGTGGAAAACCGACAAGAAATACCATATTCTAACCAGTAAAAAAAGCCACTATCAGAGTGCAAGGTCAGTGAACAATTATATCTTAAAGTAGTATTTAAGGAGACGGCAGCCTTCATCTCCCATTCCAAGAGAACACATGGAAGTGGGTGAATTCTCCATACGCATAAGTTTTCTTCTTGCTCCTGAAGTCTGCAATACAGCGGTCTTCATCAGAAAATACAAAGCTTCTGGAGTACGTGGATGCACTGGATTTGAACCAAATGTGCCTGCTCACCTGTCCTACCTTGTAAATAACAGGGCCACACTGCCCCAAGTACTCTGCCTGCCTCTGTGCCCCCAGCCTGAGCCAGGGTACAGCACCACAGGAGCACCGTGGGCTGCACAGGACCATCTCTGCATCCCAAAATTGTGTCACACCACAGCTCTGTGAGAGGTCATTGCGCCTGCGCTGCTCTGCACAGACCGGCTTGTTTGGGACTGTACAGCTCAGGCTGCAGTGGCACAAGGGAAAGTCTTCAGGCATAACTGAGGCAGGAGGTGGTGTCTGTAACATCCACCCCAAGCCTCTGCTGCGCCCGGGCGTGCCACCAAGGCAGAGCACAGAGCGCTGCTCACGTCTCTCGGCTGTCACAGCTCACCTCTGAAGAGTTTGCTGCTTCCCTTTCCAACCTACACTTTACTGGGATATTTCTGGGACATGTTTTAACATTAAAATCATCAAGAATAAGATGACACTGAGAGGCTTGATCCTAACTGGTCTGCAGGAGCAAGGAGCAGTATGGCTGCCACACAACTGTTAGAGCTGGTCACGTCCCCACTGCCCAGGGAGACGGATGTGGTAGGATTCCCACGGTCAGTCCTCTCTGCAGGAATCAAGCCAGCCCATATGGTATCCACTGGAAGTAAACAGAATAATCGAAACACCTCTGTTCCGGGAGAGTCTCCTGTGGCAGCGGCTCAGCCATTGTCACCCATCCTCTGCTGCAGCTTCCAGCAGTGAATCACCCAGCTAAACCCCACAGCTCAGACCAACAGCCCACCAAACTCCAGTACCAAATCGACCGGCTAAACCCCAGACTCAGACCAACAGCCCACAGGGCTCCAGTAACAGCGCCCCAGGAACAAAGCACTGCATGTAAGGAGCAAGGAAACTGGATTTTCATCCATGGCAAACTAGGGCTCGAGAGCCTTATGGATGGTGGGGTTGGCTCATCTCTGCCGATGGTGAAGCATAGCGGGATTTGAACAGTGGGGTCAGAGGGGAGGCTGGGGACATCCTCATCGAAAGGATGGATACAGAGGTAGGAAAACACAGGAGCCTTTTCTGACAGAATTTAGAGCAAATCCCTTTGGGACCTGGAGGAACTGACAGGACACGAGGGGTGCGTTTAGTACCGATCTGGTCCCAGCTCCACCAAACCCTGCTGTGGTTCCCAGCGCTGTGTGCATGGTGTGTGCAAGGCCTCATACCACACAGCCGGTGCCTGCCTGAAGGGCCTGGGAGCAGGGAGCTTTCCAAGGACCAGGAATTGCCCAGACTTAAAAGGACCCTGAAAAGAAGGGAAATAAGCATCTGATTTGCCTAAGAAGGTAGATATGCATCTTCTAATAAAATTACATATTCTTTTGATCCCGGTGCCTCCTGGGCAAAAGAAAGGAGAGCTGCAAATTATAAACAACAGCAGAAGAGTGATAGGTTACTGCTTCTCACACCAAGAGAAAACAGAATATCTGAAACACCCCTAACAATCTCATTACGGACCCCAGTTGTTATCAAAGCAAACAATGAGAGACAAGAAGCCAAACGAACAAAAAGCTGAAATTATCAGAAGTAAAACTTTTACTACTGCTTTAAAATGCAATGATTTGCTTTACCGCCACCTAGTGACAATCCAACGCAGTTCACAGCACATAAAACAAGTTCAGATCTGCAAAAAGACCAGTAATTTTATCACCTCTTCATTCCCATACTAGAGACAGGTAGGTCTAGGGTAATTGCTGAGGTCTGAACTACTTTGCTAGTTTTCCTATCAAAACTTGTAATCAGAAAGTGAAGCATGGAAAAATGGATGCATTTGCATTCTGCAAGAGTAAAGCAATCGCCAGCAATGCAGTCTCATGAACTGGCATAAGGGAAGTGAGATCCCAGAAAATGCCAATGAGGTGTGTCGGTGGTGTCAAGAAACCCAACCACCACAACACAAGCTTTTCCTACCCTCACTTGTAAAACAGCACATGGGATTTGTCAGTGGGGTTCAAGGCAGATGACCTTAGCTGGAGTAGATGCTCACTTCACACAGCTCCCCCTCACACTGGGGTTTTCTCTTCTGCTGTGGTTTTAATTCCAGTTTATTCTCCTCAGAATGTAAAGCTGGCACAGCCCATGCTGCAACCTGGACCAACAGCTGCCAGTGGGACTCCTGAGAAGCATTTCAGCTGGAAACCTACAGCAGCGCAAATGATGGGGTACAATTTGTCCTATGGAAAACTGCCAGGTAAAATAGTGTTGGAAATTTAAGACGCTGAGAAGTGTTTTTTGTATCAGCATCAGCTCCTACCAAGGTTTTAAAGAACTAAGTAATTTCAGAAAAGAATGTTGAAATACTGCCAAGGGCTGCCCCTGTGGGGTCAGTCCTGGTGTACCACACCAGCCAAGTTCAGAGTATAAACACCACGAAATAAAACATGCTATAGTTTTATGAGAGAATTCATAGGTCTGAAGTTTTCTCACAAATGTTTACACATGAAATGTTAAAATTCCCAGAGTCAGTGATTTCTAAATATATTTAAGTAGCTAGGGTTTAGATTAGTGCTGTAACAGGCCCAATGTCTCTGCAGAGCACACACAGACCATGTCCACTCCCAGTTGTGCTCTGTCCGGATGGCCCACAGCTGCCCCATAACTGACCCATAGCTCGCTCTCAAGGGTACGGGTGCAGGGGGTGCAGAATCAGGGCTGTGTGCTGCAGCCCCCAGAGCTCTGCTGGGCTGAGGGGCACATGGAGGGGACTCAAATCCTTCTGGAGCTTTACTGACCACAGTCACCAGTTCTCCCTACAGAGCATTTCCAGGCTGCTTACCTTCCTCAGACACTGCACACCCAAAAGCACCTTCAGCAACACAAGGGCTGCTCATGGCCATGCAGCTCTCGCCCACCACATTGGGCTCTGCAGCCCTCTGACCTGTGGTAGCACTGTTATATGCCCTCAGTAGCACCATTATATACCCATGGGAGCATCACTATACTCCTGCAGGAAGAACAGCTGCCATGCTCAGAGGCCAGCGAGCCACAGATGTGCTGATTTTGACACACACAATACTCAGGAGTACTGTTTCACACCCAGGTTTTCAGAGCTGGTTAATACGAGCAGCCTCTGGAACTGCCCCAAGATAGGACGTTTCCTAGAGGACAGTTCTGAAATGGCCCCATTTGTAAAACACTAGAAATGTCCTTTAAACTTGTGTTTTTCCTCCTTCCCACAGACGCTCAGCCGAACCAAGACAACGGTACCTCCCCCAACTCCACCGCAGGCTCCCCGGGCAACTCCACACACAACGAGTTCACCACCATCGTCCTGCCTGTGCT